ACTGTCAGATGAGGTTTTCACCAGTCTCCCCCATCAGGTGCTAGAGCAATTTTCCCCTCTCTGCCCCAGAGAGAAAGCTTGCCCTAGTGGGGTCATGATGATGTCCATAGATTTTCAGACTCTAAGTTCTATATGCCTTTATAGTTGCTGTGGTTGGTCAAAATTCTATACAACCATCACTTCCTTTCTGTTTCCTGGTTTAACATGAAAGCCTCTGTGCTCACCACACCTTTCCTACCATGATGGAATGAATCCTCTGAAACTATAACCTTTCATCCCAGGGGCTAGAAAGATGGCTCAGCAGTTAAGAGCACTGACTGTTCTTGCAGAGGACCCAGGTTTGAGTCCCAGCACCCACATGTGGCTAACAACCACCCGTAACTCCAGTTCCAGGGGAATCCGATGCCTTCTTCTGACCTCCTAGGGCATTGCACGACACAGGTGCACTTACACACATGCAGGCAATATACTTATACACATAAAATTTTTTAAATTAAAAAAAAAAACCTTTAATTCCTAAAAAATAAAAAAGTTTTTTTAAACTGTACCTAGTGTTCAAACATGACTCTTCCAGGAAATCAACCCTGACTACCTTACCCAGAAAGGGCGTCTACCCCTCTGAACTCTGCCCTCCAGCATCAATTTTCTCTGTCTGTCTCTGTATCTCTGTCTCTGTCTCTCTCTGTCTCTCTGTCTCTCTCTCTCTCTCTCTCTCTCTCTCTCTCTCTCTCTCTCTCTCTCTCACACACACACACACACACACACCCTGAGTGACCTGGGGACTTACTTCTAACCACACTAGGAGTTGGCATAAGCATTAGGTGAAATGCTACTTATCTTATTCAGTTCACTTATCTATCTACTGTTTTAGAGAAACCAACTGTCATCAAGACAAAGAATATAGATAAACCAGGTGCTAAGGCTCACACCTTTAATCCCAGTACTTGATAGGTTGAGGCAAGGAGATCTTAAGTTGGAGGCCAGTCTTGGCCACCTAAGAACCTGTCAAAAACAAAAACAAAAACAAAACTGCACACCTTTAATCCCTGTACTTTAGAGGCAGAGGAAAGCCTGGTCTATATAGTAAGTTCCAGGCCAGTCAGGATTACATAATAAGACCTTGTAACAAAACCAAACCAAACCAAACCAAACCAAAACAAAACAAAACAAAACAGGTGAGGGAGATAGCTCAATTGGTTTAGTGATTGTCAGGTAAGCATAAGTACTTGCGTTCCATCCCCAGAGCCCGCATAAAAAGCCAAGCTTGGTGGTATGTGCTTGTAATCCCAGCACTGGAGAGACAAGTGGGAATGTCTAGGGCTCAGTCTAGCCTACTCCACGTATCTCAGGCCAATAAGAGACTTGTTTCAAAAAACAAGGTGGATGGCACCTGAAGAATGATACTTGAGGTTGTCCTCTGACCTCCATATGCACATGCATGCATGCATGCACCCACATGAACACACACAAAAACCAAAGAATACAGATGACAAATTGATACATGAACATACACAGGGAGAAAGACACAGTAGAGGAGAAATAAAGATGCTGATTATGAGATGAAGTAAGTATAACTGAAACATGGAATGAATATCCTATTATATGCTGAGCATCCTGGAAGCCAATGAGAAGAGGGAAATCACAATCAGCTAAAAACAAAAGGGCTGGAAAGATGGCTCAGGGATTAATAGCACTTGCTGCTCTTACAGAGGACCTGGGTTCAGTTTCCAGCACTCACATAGTAGATTTCAACCACCTGTGTCCAACTCCAGGGGCGCCAAAGCCCTCTTCTGGTATCCATGGTCACCTACACACATGGTGCACATATAGACAAGCAGGCACACACACACACACACACACACGCACATACACACACAGATAAAAATAAATAAAATATAAAAAATAAAATAGTGTGGTATAGGAGGAGTAAGGCAGAAATGAGTACAAAACCAGATAAACTCTGATCAAATAAATTGATCTCCCTGTTTCACAGCTTCTTTCTCTGGGAAAATGAAAGAAGAATACTATGTACTGTGCAGCATGTACAAACCCTGTGCACACACTGTGTGGTGCAGAATATGTAAACAATACATGTTTGCCGTTTCCATTTTTTTTTTCATTATCAAAGGAAAAAACAGCTTACTTTTCCAGGGAAGGCAAAGTTTGCATGTCCCTAAATTCTAAAAAAATTAAAAGCAGGGTCTGGAGAGATGGCTCAGCGGTTCAGCGCACTGACTGCTCTTGCAGAGGACCCGGGTTCAATTCCCAGCACCCACATGGCAGCTACGAACCATCCTTAACTCCAGTTCCAGGGGAATCCGAAGCCCTCTTCTGACCACCACGGCATTGCATGACACGGGTGCACTCACATACATGCAGGCAATGCACTCATACACATAAAATAAAGATAATAAATAAAATATTTTTAAAAAATTAAGCCGGGCGTGGTGGCATGCGCCCAGCACTTGGGAGGCAGAGGCAAACAGATCTTTGTGAGTTCAAGGCCAGCCTGGTCTACATAATGCGTTCCAGGACAGCTGGTGCTACAAGAAGACCCTGTCTCAAAAAGACCAAAAAAAGAAAAAAAATTAAAAGCATTATTATTTTACTGTAAGAAGCCTTCAGCAGAGGGGTAAGGTCTAAGATTACGGTTTTAGAGTAAATGAAATGAGGATTTATCCTGGTTCTATTCAAAAACATCCCTGGATACCCAGTAAAAGCTTAATAAACATTGATTACATGACCTACAGAGATGTGGAAAGATCACTTAGCTGCTGGGTACCTGGAGGTAGGGAGTCCTGTTAAGCAGTTTCAGGGTGGCTATGTACAAAGGGATCGATCTCTTCTGAGCAAAGCTGAGAACTGGTATGCAGGCACCTGACGGCTCTCTCAGGGTAGCCTGCCAGGCCATCACCAGCAGCCTCTCCAGCTTGTAGAAAATGGTGCCACACAGGAGCTTATCCTTGTCCTTCTAATACAACACATGGCCCCTGGGCTCTTCCCAAAACAAGGCAATGATCTTGAAGCAACAGATGCCTCCTCTGCTAATCTCTACAAATAACTGCACATCTTCCAGTATTGGTTCTTCCTGAAGACTGAGTTGGGAAGCCTCAACCGGATGGGGTGTTTAGAACATCTGCCTTGTGTTAAAACAGGCCTCTAGATAGGGATGAAGATGATGTGAGCGAGAAGGTGCTGATACAGACTATGACCAAGGAAGGCTCTTGGGGGTGGGTGTCACTCTCTCACCATCTAGTCAGTATTTTCCCAAGTGCTTACTGCATGAGAAGCATGGGGACAGAGAAATAAGATTCAACCCTGGGAAGTCACAGTCTAGCAGGGAGGCACAAAGAAGCAGAAGCGTCATTTCATGTGGTAAGTCAGATTAGGCTGACACAAAAATGGAGAAAGGGGATCAACCTCCAGCAAGGGATAGAAAAGATAGGAAAGCCCAATCCCTGTCATGAAGAAATGACAAGACACAAAGGGACCTAGAAAATCTCAAGGGAACCTAGACAGCTGGAGTTTAGAGTGTGAGAAACAACACATAAAGAGAAGACAGCTAGGATAAATAGGGCCTGGATCCCCAAGAGTCTTGTATATGCTGAAGAACTTCAGATTCCTTAAGGAACAACCAAGACCAAGAAAAGCCATGTGACTTAGTTTAGTTCACACAGCAAGTTCAGAGAAAGTTAGGCATGGAACCCCAGGTCTCTGGGTTCCTAAGTCCCATTCTCTGCTCTGGAGCTGCTCAAATATTCACAGCAAGGGAAAGGAAGTAAAAAGGGCTACCCATGCAACATTCACCACCCAGAGAACCTACAGCCAGGGCTTGGTCATCTCCACAGCAGGGAATATGCTGTCCTAGTCATTTGGCAAAGTCACTCCCTACAAGATCAGCCCTTCCAACTCATTGTGTTTCTCTGCAGTGGGAGCAGTCTGGGCATCTATACCAATCCCAGAACAGTCTCTTCACAAGAGAAAAAGAATTTGATCACAGCAGTGCAGGAACCAGACAAGACAGGATCAATCCTTGGGGATTCTGCGCCATACAGATGCTGGCTTGCACACAGGGGGCTGACTAAGGTGGGAGACCAGAGACAATCGAACTCCACCTGGGAGCTCACAATCCAGCAGTGGAGAGAAGCCAGGCACAAACTATCTATAAAATAAGGTTGACAGTGATAAGAGCCTTCACAGATATAGTGCAGTGGGGGGTTCAGAGCTAAGAGAGGGGCCCAGGGCCATTCAGAAGAAGGGGAACATTTTCTACCTGGGGAAGGGGGCTACCCTTTCAGCTTGCTGACTACCGGATGGGGCAGGAAAAATGGACAAAGAATGATGCTTAGTTATGATCTCTTTTTAAGTATCCAGATTATGGAGGCAGGTAGGCCCAAGAGTTTCAGAGATAAAGTGGAGAATAAGGGAGAAATCCGGGATTTCTGTGCAGAAATGGTAAGCCTACTTTAAACAAGGACAAAGCTAAAGGCCTTGCCTTGAGATGGCATTTATATAGCATGTACTATGTTTACTTGGAATATGCATTTTGGAAGGGGTAGGGAGATTTGTACACATTGGAAGAAGTGGGACGTTAAGTTTCCCTCTCCCCAAGCTCCGTATCAGTCTTGCCACAGGCAGGAAAGAATGAAGGGCTGGTTAAGGAGGAAGCTGCAGACCCTAAGCTGGCACCTCCCAGAACATCAGGAAAGGGAGCTGTGGGATGGAGAGGGACCACACCCCACCCTTGGGCCAGGATGCCCACCCAATCAGGCAAAGCTGAAGGGACACTGCTGGACGAAACCTAGCCCCAGGCTGTGCTCAGCACTTCCTGTCAGCCCCTTCATCCCTCTTCTCACGTCTGAGGGTCACCGGGGAAGGCCCTGCACTGCAAACACACCTGCTCCTGGAGTGTTCTGACACTTGTCACTGGGGGAGGGGTCCTCCACGAGTCAGGAATTTGGGGAATCAGCGCTGGGGGCCCGACCGGGCCAGCGAGTTACCTCAGCGATGCCCCAGGCGGCGGTCCCGCGCCCCTCGCGTGCGGCCTCCTCTTTGCCCTCAGGGTGCTTCAGGTCTGTGGCCCGTCACTGCAAGCTCCGAGGGCCTGGGAGGGCCGCCC